TGGTTTAGAATTCGTTTGGCATATATATTGATACTTTGGCAAAATCCTTACTAGTAAAATTGTGAAATCTTTATGAATTTTGCAATCAGTTAAAAGAAATGTGCTCAATGAAAAGACATTGTGCACTATGTATATTTTGTCTGTCAAAAGACGAAATTTTGAGAAATGAAAGGAACTTGAACGAAACCTGCATCAAACATGCACTTAAATTTGCTTCAATTTCCTTGTCACCCGTTTCAGGCAATGAATGGACGCGTGGTTTTATTAAAAAGTGACGTCAAAGAACACGACCAAAGGTTAAACACGGTGGAGATGAAAAGCGACATTCTAAACCAGACACAACAGGTAATGATTGCAGCAATTATGTATTAGTAATTAGTAGTCAGACTGAATATATAATTTGTGTTAATAAATATCAATGTAACAGTAAAAAATAAGTTAAACATGTAACTTGTAGTAATAAATAAAAATGTATGATTAATACAAGCAATATATATTATATTTACTAATCGTTCCTTATTTAAGCTTATGGGATAGCTATCCAATTTAACCCCAGGACCTACATATGGGGCTCTTAGTTTATCGACAAAAAACTTAACTAACCTGTAACATTTCAAGTTTTTCCACCAAAATATAACTTTAAGTATTTGTCTATGTATATGTCCAATGGTTGCTCTTCCAGTTCTCACAATTATACCATCTACCTTAAAATATATATAATTACATTTTGTTGGGATGTAAATACTATCATCAACCTCAAAATATGAATACAGCAAAGCACAAATCCTATAGTTAATGTTACTTATAGTATTGTCGTAATATAAACTACACTACAGACACTGGATAATAGAAGTGTCACCCCTACTGAACCAATACTTTGGGGAAGATAAATGATTGTGGAATGATATGCTCCTGGTATCATTTTATTAACATCCAATTTCACAAAAAGACCTACTATACAATTCCATGGTACACCGGTTTTATACTCATTGGTCACATTAAAAGTAGACCAGGCATTATAACTTTGATTACTCTGATTCAGGGTGTGACACTTCTATTGTCCTGTGTGTGTATGAGCGAATATGGTACTATATATATTGTTATCTGCTTTAAAACACACACATCATATAACATAGTCGCAGGATATCTGAATATAACGTTTTCCTATTGAATCTCTCTGTAGGAATATTGGAAACGACTTCGCCTGGTAGAAGTCAACTCAGCGTCTCGGACCAAAGGTGATGGGAGAATGGTGCTTTTAATAATTGACATAATGGCTACCATTGCAACACATTGCATGTGCAATATGTGATACTACGATGGAACCAACAAATACTGATGCTTACGGAAATAACGATCTGAAACAATTCAGTAATTACATGGGCCCAGTTTCATGAACACTTGGTAGCGCCATTCTGTGAATAAAAATATTTTCTTCTGAGCAGTTATCCTGTGGGAAAGTAATTGTCCCAAACACGGGATGCATTTTTGTATCCCTAATATCGCTATCCAATGGTTAAAATGGAAACTTTGTACAGTATATATGTCAAAAGGATAACACATTTAGTGAAAAACGAAGAGCAAGTTTCAATCTGATTAACATTTTATACGATTAATGACTGATTATCCGAGCTGACAAGATCCTATGTTTTATTGACGCATTGCAGGACAGTACCTTTCTTATCAGTTATGGCGATTAATTAAGGTAACGAAGCTAGTTTTATACAGGTGTAAATTTCCAAATACTAATAACAATAAATTGAACTGCCTCCATTTATGTATTTATCCATTCACCCTGTATGAATTAGTATTCACTGTCTTCAAAGTCTTCACTGGCGCAAAGCGACGACCTTAAGTAAGTAACCCAAAGTAAATGGGGCATTAGCTATTCGGCATTAACTATCTAATTCAATACATGTGTCTATTGAAAAGTAATATGTAACATCTAAATATTCATTCTGAAGAAGCTTTTGTTCTGAAACATGGACTGTAGAGTATTCATAATGGTTTGTAGCACAGCATCTTTACACATTAATTGATTTCCATTCAAGTGCATCCATCGCTGTCTCAGGAATGATTTACCTTTTTTATTCAGTCAGTTGACTTTGTTGCAGATTGGCCAAATAGACTAAAGTGTGCTACAGATTTTAAATAAGCACACATCGTCCGGTTGTTTTTGAACCATGTGACTCTGAAAGGAAATGACATAAAAATCAAACAGAAAAAACAACAAAACATGAAAACTTATCCAAGATTGTAATAATTCAGCCAAAGTAAACCCTAGCTCACCAAAGGTAATTTATTTGAATTTCCGCTTCGACATTGTCTATTTCTAATGTTTCTGAATTTGCCGATTGTTATAGGACTTGAAACCTTATAAAACACATTACCTGCCTCCCTCACTCGGTCATGCTTGAGGTACGAGTACCAATCAGGATCAAACAGGCATTCAGATAATCTGAAAATGCGATTTTAACAAAAGGATATTACTTTTTCTCTACTTTGTAAAAAACCATGCGTATTTTAATTTAATTTCCTGTCATGTTTTCAACTTAAAGATTGCTTTTGAAAAAATATAAGATGTTGTGAAATCATACGAAGAGAAAAAAGATGCAAAGAAAAGGGAATCATATTACGCTGTAATTTACCTTTTGAAGACGTCCTCTTCACTACTACCAGGTAATGGCATGACATCATGTGACCTCTCTTTTTCGGAACATGGTTCTCTGTATCTCTGGGTGTGCATTCGAATGGATCTTATTAGTTGCCTCATTTCTGTCACTGGTTCTTCCCTGAGAGATACAAAATGATTATGGTTCTTTGGATGACGGTTTCGTTCACACTTACAGTGAATTGAATTAAAATAAATAGTGTGTATGAATGTTAAGCATCAACAATATATTAGACTCAGTATTTTAACAAGTCTTGGAAGGCCAATGGATGGGAATTGGACTGTGTATCATAAGTGACTTTCTCATACATCGAGATTTGGTGCGGTGCCAGGGGGGGTTATTCAACAAAAACAAAACTCAGAAATATCTAAATAGGAATGTGCTGGTTGCTTCCGCCAGTTGTAAATGAAGATCTCTCATCCTATGTGTACTGCCAGAGCAGTGTTTTATAGATAAATCTTATTTATTGTTGTGTGTGAGTATTGCAAGTGGCTACACTATGTCAACAAGTGCATGACGGTCCTTCTTTCGCCCACCCTTCATTCAACAGCAGCTTCCTTTCCCGCAACCGCTACAGTGAACAGATTCACCCTGTCCAGAACGTTTCAACCATTATAATTTGTAGACACGAAGCAATACGTGCAGGCACGTCGTACCTTTAGTTTGCGTATAAAGGCATGCGTGTAAAGATCATATCACTTTTCTTTAAACAAACGCGTCAAATTACAGATTCGGTTGTGCGAATGTGGGGCCGCGATCTTTGTGAAAATATAATATAGAAAACTATAATATAGAAAAAAAGGGGAAAAAAAGCAGTGGCATTCCTAGAATTTAAGACTGCGAACCGTCTTCAATAAATAGATACGTTAACTATCATGTCATTATCCTTAGATTACAAACATAATTCCAACTTTGCTTTCAAATTATCAGATCGGTACATGTAAATATGCAAACACTTTAAGAAACGGCCTTAGCTGACTAACAACGCTATTTAAGACAGATTTAACTTAGATATAAATTACACACAAAGAGCCAGATACAATTTAAAACACGTCAGCTATAGCCTAGCACCATACAGATACGCCATGCTATGTACGTCTCATCTAGAAAACCCATTATGTATATTGCGGGGTTTGATTTTTTACAATGCTTTAATAATTATAAATCGCTGTCATCCTTTTATAATTTCAAGCTTAAAGTGCTGTAGTGTCTCATGAAACATCTACATGTTATCTTAATTCCATATGCGCATCCTTTGGTACCACATGTATAAAAAACAGAACAACATATATTTTTAATCTGAGATTAGAAGACCTTTGAAATGTACACGCTTACAAATTAGCAGTTGTTATATTCGCTAAGGTTATATATCTTGCTCAGTATGAAATAAAATTTGTATTCTGACTTTGACAGAAAGGAGCAACATAATGGTTTTCAAGGCGCAGCAAAAATAAAGTTGTCTTACCTGTCACTATCAGGCATGCCCCATACAAGTTTACGGCAGTATGCGCTCAAGTCACCCTGAGCTTCAGAGCTAACTTGACACTAACCTTTTCACTGTAGCCTATCTCCATCGTGTCAAGTAACCTCTGACCAGATTCGAGTGCCCCCGCCGCCCGCCAATCAAATTTAAAGCCCGCACTCAATGACTCATTGAACGATCTAGCCAATGAACGCGAACGAGTCAAAGCGCGCTTTGTTCAAATCCGGACCAATCAAAGATAAGGCTGAATATCAGGGACTTGCCGTAACCTGTGGGCAGCACGCAAAATACATCATCCCTCAGTAGATAATGATGCAGGGCATCATACTGCTCTGGTTTCAATTCCGATATACTCCATGCTTTCTTTGTGTACGGTTATGCACTCGGAACCACTCGGAACTACTCGGATGTCTCCGCACTCGACAATAACTATGTTGTTAGTATGGAGCTTGCGGAATCAGCCGAGGATTGCCGATTGACGATCAACCAATCAGCGTTTTCACCAAACTTTGGTGAAAAATTTTGAAACATGGATTCGATTGGCTTATATAAAATAGGTCAAACTATTTTCGTCAGAGGTTACTTGACACGATGGAGATAGGCTACAGTGAAAAGGTTAGTGTCAAGTNCCTCAGTAGATAATGATGCAGGGCATCATACTGCTCTGGTTTCAATTCCGATATACTCCATGCTTTCTTTGTGTACGGTTATGCACTCGGAACCACTCGGAACTACTCGGATGTCTCCGCACTCGACAATAACTATGTTGTTAGTATGGAGCTTGCGGAATCAGCCGAGGATTGCCGATTGACGATCAACCAATCAGCGTTTTCACCAAACTTTGGTGAAAATTTTTGAAACATGGATTCGATTGGCTTATATAAAATAGGTCAAACTATTTTCGTCAGAGGTTACTTGACACGATGGAGATAGGCTACAGTGAAAAGGTTAGTGTCAAGTTAGCTCTGAAGCTCAGGGTGGCTCAAGTGCGTCAAATATACATTTGGTGGCATATATCCTAGAGAAAAGCACCACGTTTATGTAAATAATAATAATAATAATAATAATAATAATAATAAGCCAAATTCGGTCAAATGGTATAATATATACTGAAGACAAAATGTAACATGATGCGCACTTTCTAAAATGTAAACTGTAGACATTTGGAAAGAACACACGGTTTAAACGTTAAGGATATAATACTTACGGATATATTCCCTTATAACTAAATGTATTAACAGACTACAGGAGATAATTGCAGTACGCGGTAGACACACGCGCTATTAGGCACGTGACCTTTAAAGAGCACACCCTAATGCGCATTGTGTGTAAATTTGGTGACATTTGATGGCCTCTTTTCAATTTAATAGACATTTCTTTACATCTGTGAAAATCACAGTGAAACATTGGATTTGAGGGGGTACCTGTCATAAATTTGACTAAATGGTATAAAATTTGCATATTTTCACCACTATTTTGTATTTTCTGAACCATTAATCATGTTAGACATGGAGTCTGGAATAAAAAGCACCGTTTATAACAAATTACATCTGTGAAGGGATCATTTGTAAATATAAGTACATGGAAATGGGGGTGGGACAACCTTTTTGACCAATGTTGTATAGCTGTCGACGTAGGCATCGTACTTGGCTCTAAGGTTGGTGTTACACGGTCCTTTTAGACCCCATTCCTAGAGATTAGATCGATCCAACTAGATCGACCTAACTCCCTTGGGGTTCACGCTAAATAGCTGTCAGCCGAGCGGGCACGAAAGTTAATTACCCTCTTACGGTTTGTAGTAGGCGGAACGGACATTAAAGCCGGATTATCTGACAGTAATCTAGTGAGACTCCCCACGGGGATAGATCGAACTAAAATCTATGGGAATGCGCCCTTAGACAACAACCAGACAACATGCAAAACAAGTATTATGACTATATATACAAATGATTATAATGCTTGCGATTTCAAAAAGTTGTCAAAAGTTTTAGTACAGGCTATAGAGACCATGGATCCGTTTGATTTCGTACGATTTCGCATGTTCACCGTCTCCGCAGAGACGCTGCACAAAAAGATTTACGTGTGGTATACGAGCATTGTACAAACATTGCATGGCAAATGCAATATAAACTTTACCTGTAATTGCTTGGATTAATGACCGGATGACATCCTTATCCGGAACGAGAAAGCTTTCTGTCCGGTGGCTGATTCTGTGCACAGCGGAGGGTGACAATTCATTATCGAGCACAACAGAGATGCATTTAAGTCCTCTTTTAACCAGTTTTTTAAATTGTTCACTCCCCTCGGGCAGAAATATCACAACGCAATATAGCTGCTCTTGGTCAAATGATAAGATATCTTTGGTTTCATCGAGAATATGGACGACGCTGCACTCAACTCCCCTCTCTTCAAGTTGGTAATTAATTTCTTTAACTCTGAATGCATCGTCGATTCTGCATACCAGGGAGATTGTGTTCAAACTTGTTGAACTGGCGGCCAATGTCATTCGTAACCTGGAAAATACGAGATAAAAGATTTTACGCAGATATTAAAATATGGAGAATATCGTATGGCAGATTTTTTCACAATCATCTTTACGAGCAGGATAAGATATGGTGACTCGCTTCGTTCAGTAATTACAAACAAGCAAATCGTTAAGACCCTGTAACACCTTTCGTGTAGAGGTAAGTATGAGTATCATATATGAAATCGATTATACTCACAACTTTAAGCGTATGGAATTACCTTTTTTCCAGAGTATGAAAATGAACATATAAGCAGGGAATGAAATTGTTTTTGAACATGCTTAAAACATATAAGGGGGTTTAATGTGTATGTGAACGCATTATTTATCCTTAATTGTTTTTATTATGCTACCAATCGTACATTTTTGCTACCAACCGTACAACCGTATGATTGTATACTTTACCTGCCCGGTTGTCTTGGTGCCGCTATGTTTCTTAGAAGCGCACGCAATGCTTGCGAAAGGTCATTATATATCCAAGGGAGAAAGTTTGTTTCCAAGATCATTGATGTTATGCTTCCTAAAAGTACATTTCAAACCCAAATCAAACAGTGATAGGTCCATTATCAATTCACTATATACAATTGTTATCTTTGGGTCGATATTAGACTGTCTCCCGATAAATAAACAACTGGTGAGCATTTAATGTTGTGCAAAAGGATGAAGAGGCGGTTTCAATTGGGTGGCCAGTGTCCCCTTAACCGACCACGATATCCCAACATATTCAGGCCTACCCAAGTACCAGACTCGGCACCTAAGGATCCTGAATTAACCGGTATATCGGACCACACTACCCGTTTTCAAGGTGTGTGTCAGATCGCATTTCGGAGTATCATACCCCAGAACAAATTTTATAGCACGACTGCGGGCTCATCCACGCTCGGCTGAACAACCTTAAACTGTACTCTTACGTTAGAGTACTCTATTTTATTGTCTCTATGGGGATATATGGGGACTTTACGACATTCGGTTTGAATGTTTTAACCACTTTTGATAGGGCGTTTTTGCATTGTATTAGATTAATGTGGCAGTCTTAGGTTCATCTAGGTGGCTTTCAAATTTATGCACCCGGTTTTAAAATCATATAGCGATTTTACGACAATCGTTTACTATCCAATCAAGGTGACAGCCGAGCATGCCAGGGCTCATCCTGTCGGTGTTCTGGCTGATACTCCGAAATGCGATCTGACACACACCTTGAAAAACGGGTAGTGTGGTCCGATATACCGGTTAATTCAGGATCCTTAGGTCTGGTAGTTGGGTAGGCCTGATATTGCAATAGAAAACTTATTTCAATGGCATTTCATTTTATATCCTTATAATATTACGTAAAATTACGAAACACGATATAAAAATCCAGGCCAGTGTCCAAACTAATTAGGCCATCCAATCCATGAAAGATTGCATTTATTACCTCCTCCAAGGAGGTTATGTTTTCACCCCTATTTGTATGTCTGTCTGCTTGTTTGTCTGTCATCACCATAACTCAAAAAGTTATGGACCGATTTTGATGAAATTTTCAGGAACTATCAGAAGTGGTCCAAGAAAGACAATTAGTTTTTGGTGGTGATCCGGGTCAATAATCAATCAATAATCAGTGATCAAAAACCAATCATCAACATAACTCATAAAGTTATGAACTGATTTTGATGAAATTTTCAGGGTAGGTCAGAAATGGGTTGACTGAATTGATTAGTTTTTGGTGATGATCTGAATCAATAATCAATCAATAATCAATAATAATAAAAAATGCTGCCTGGGCGGAGGTCTGCGCTCTTGGAGTGCATTTCTAGTTGGTGGGAGCCATAAACCTTGCCTGATTAAATGTGTTTGGGATTGCTATATTTGATAATAAAGTTCATTAAAAAAATTTGAGACATATACATTTCTGATAATGCCATAGGGGTCTCGTTAGGCATTAATTGATAATTCATTAATTTTAATTACCTTTATGATTTTTAATTTTATTATGCATGGAATGTTACAAATTGTTGTACTATTGCCCTGAAATACTTTTTTCAAACCGATTCAGATTGGGAATGCAAAGGGTTATTTTATAAAAGATAGTGTTTACAATAGCCTATCAGTATCGTGATGATGGGGCAAATTCAAATAATATAAATATGCCTGACTCTTTTTCATGACATCGTCTTGCTCTATATGCCGATCTATATTTTTTGTATGTCTATATGGAGTGTTGTGCTTTAGAAGTAATGACATATCTATGTGGTTTTATTTTACTTTGGTGATATGTTCCATGGCAACAGGGGTGTGGAATGTTATTGTTTTTCTACTTATATTTATCTTATCCATCTATTTATTTTCCTTACTTTACAAAACCCATAGACAGCAAAGTGGGGTCATAGAAATGAACATAACATATAAATGGTTCTCAACGAGAATTTTACTTATATTTTAATCAAATTTGTTTAAAATACGTAGGCAACTCATTTTGGAACGTGGTGTAAATATGTTAATATATTATCCCGTATATTATGTATATTTCATATTTTTATTCGAAGATTAAATTAAAGACCATAAGTAAGATAAATATATTTTAATTCCTTTGCTCCTTTCCCCTTATTAAAACTATTCATATAAGATTTTTTAACGAAGTTGAAGTCAAATTTCACAGTTAAAAAGTTTGGACTTCTCTCTGACACACACAGTGCTTCTACTGTAAATTTGTGTAAATTTACCATTACAACAGTCAACTGAATGAAATTAATGCTCTAATTTTGTATTTTCTTTATCTTTCATCTTAGGTATTTAGTAAAAATAATTCGACAAAAAAAATGTTTTTACGTTTAACATTTTCTCTATTTAACATTATAATGAATCCTTTTGAAATTCAGCACAATTTAACCTAGAAAATATGAAAACGATACCGTTACTCAATACCCAAAACAATTTTATAGCACTTTAAGTGAACATGTCTGTGTTAGGCGCAATATAGGGGAAATTGCTTCTGATTTCAGTGTAATTTCAGTGTAATGACATATGTTATATATTTTTGATGATGAAAAAGGCGTAAAAATATATATATGTATATATTTTACGCCTTTTCATCGTTATTGTGATATGTAAGCGCTCCAGTAATGGTACACATGCAGTCATATTCAAATTAAATGCTTTTCCCTCTCAATGTTTTTCTTGTGCCAATATCTCATTCTGCATCTTGGCTTTGTTATATAATATATCACTATGAAAAAGCTCACAGCCTATTTGACAAGCCTTCTATAAAAGTATATCATGTATATACGAGTTTGAAACCTTATTTCACTTCAGTAAGTGTATTAATCATATATTTGATTACCTGATGTAGCAAAATGGACTAAATCCTCCTTCCACAAAGGACGCGTTGTTGTGATGTAGTTGAATTCCATGATAACAAGAGGAGCTCGTTCTGATTTTACATGGACCAAAAGAAAGAGAAAGTGTCGCCTAGATTCCAAGGCGTCCATTAAAAAATGTTTCCAGCTGTTGTTTCCGAGAGCATGACCTGAGTAAATGATTATGCGCCTTTGACACGCATCTCCAAGCTTTGTACCATTATCTAACTCTGTTCGCAGAAGACAGCGAAGTTTACGTTTCTCTAATTCTGCTTTCACCTGCTTTTCAACGAAGTCTTTATCGTGGACTTCAAGTAACAGGATGACATCGTTATCGTCCACATCTACCATCTTTGTACTACTAGCTAGATTCCAAAGAGCATTGCTCGTCATCAGTAATGTCAGGAACAATTGGTTTCGAAAAATCGACACAGGATTTTGATCTGAACTTGCTGGCGTGGACTTCCCTGTCTTTAACTAGAAGATAGAAAACGACCATGAGCTTCTTTTCAAAGGTTGCAGTGCACTGGAAATAATGTTTTTACAAATAAATCTTATCACTTAAAAAACGAAAATATGGACTAGAACCAAATGTCATAGCAAACACACACGCACACACACACACACAACAGTCAATGGCGCTATGTATTTTGCTAGGTATGTTGGACTTAATATCTCCCTTTTTACTCTGGATATGTCGCTATTGTATCCTAATGCTGGTTTGAAGGGGTAGAGACAGGATTTTGATCCGAACATACTGCCTGAACCTTTATCTTTCCATCTGGAAGACAAAAACTTTTCCCTGTTTGTGTTGCTCTGCAAAGTATGTTTTATGTTTCACATATGTTTCTTATTATTTAAAAAACAAACATAAGAACTAGATTTAAATATCCTAACACACTCTCTCTCTCTCTCTTTGTTTATCACCTCTTAGGTTGGATATATCTTTTTCTATTCTGGCTCTGTTGCTTAACGCTAATATCGGTAAGTTGAGGTTCGGGCCTATTTCTCTCCATATGCTGGCCGAGATCTCCTTTTCTTCATCTGGAAGACAAAAAGGGCGTTTATATCTTTCCCATGGTTGTGTTGCCCTGCAAAGTACGTTTTTACAAAAGTACCTTATTTCTTTAAAAAAAAACTAACATATGGACCAAATTAAAATGTTATAACACACGCGCGCGCATATATGTTTATGTTTACATATGTTTCTTATTATTTAAAAAGAACTAGATTTAAATGTCCTAACACTCTCTCTCTCTCTCTCTCTCTCTCTCTATCTCTCTTTCTCTCTCTCTCACACACACACACAGAGATATATATGGCAGTCAATGGCCTTTCTTTTTTTTTCTTTTCTTTTTCTTTCATTTACACTTGTGCCCAAACAGTGGGAAATAAACCACCTATACGCCACCTGTGGAATTGCCGAAATCCTATGTTTTTTCTGAAGGAAGCTCCAATCCTGTGCACATAAAAGTAGTGAAGATTCCGACTTCGATCAAAATTGCTTTGGGTGGCACTGTCATCTATTTTTCCAATTGCCATTGGGATAGTTGAGCAGGTTTTATCTTGTAATCTATCTAAGCCTGAGTTTTGTATTAAAACGGGCACCAATTTATGTAGTCGGATATGTCACATTTTTAAAAAACTTACTTAGACCAACTGTAGAATAAGAAATAAGCTATTAATCTAATGCTGAATAAGTATCACCTCTTTCAATCTTGCCTATTTTCTTTGGAACACTGGTCTCCAAATTAAGTGCTTCATGTAGGCGAAAGGGGTGTATAGTCTTAATAATCACATTACGAGTGAATTCTGCAAAAGAAATGAATTGTAATAGATCACTAGTTAAAGCTGCTCGCATATGTGCGAGAGAGAAGAGAGAAAAAAATTAGACATGTTTACGTTGGAACAGTCAACTAGAAGTTTTCCTCTCAATAACTTTTACCTGTTGAAGGACATAATGCAACATGAGTCATTTAGATATTTTGGTGAACACTTGTGTATATTTCTGCAACTAATTAATTTTTACCGGGTGCTTGACGTGGTTTCATTATAGATTCCACAGTTAATTTGACATCTTCGAAAGTAACCCCAGCAGTCCTGTCGATATCTTCTTCTCGCTCTAATACACCACTAAGGTCAACGGCTACGGACCCTCTGCAGCAGAGATCTACAACTTCTTCCACCGACTTCTCTGAATCACAAACGACTGTAAGGATAATGTCGCTGTTTTCAATGCGAACATCTTCAACATATCGTGTACCATCCTCAAGGCAGTCAATGGCAGTAGATATGTTGTCACCTCTTCTGCAAAGATTTCGTTTCTCTAATCTGGATATGTCGATTATGTCTTTCAGCACTGGTTTCAGGTAGTCGACATTGGCTTCTGAACCCGACATGCTGACTTGAACCTCCACTTCTTCGCCTGGAAGACAAAGTAGAAAGTACTTCTTTCCTATCGTTGCATTACACTACAAAACCTATATTTTCAACAAATGTATCTTATCATAGTTGCCGCTTTGAGATATTGTGCTAACATACTCTCTCTCTCTCTCTCTCTCTCTCTCACTTTACACCATCAATGTGTCAGTCCACACAAAGACACAAAGTGAAATAAATTGCATAATCCTCATACGTCACCTATGAAATTGCTGAAATACCACTTTTTTCCGTCAAAGGAAGCACCAATCCTGTAGGAACAGCATTGATTTCGACTTTGATCAAAATATATTTGTATGTCACTGTCACCCATTTCACCCAGTTTGTAGGACACAATATCGATCCATTGGCCCCTTTCAAGTTCATCAGAGATGCGTCCCTGAACTTTGCAATGTAAATGACGCCACTGCAAATATGGAACTTGGGTTGCAAAATTCCACTCAATCACTGTACCAGCAACTATTGTATGCCGCCTTGCTTCCAGTTGAGGCATGCTTCCACAGGCTAAACGACAAAATAATATTGAGTTAAATAAAATGCATTTACTAATCTACTTTTGCAATACAACCTAAAAACTCTATGAACCATATAGATTTAATTTAGGCACATTATGCATGGGTGTCGAGCAAAGTACTTAAAACGCGCAGTAGTATTTTCTGACAAAGACCCCCTAACACCCCACTCCCACAGACCACATACACATACATAGATACACATGATCATAGTTTGAATCATAAACTTTATATCATTTTAATTATATTACACACGTATATACCCGAGTATGATGTTAGGTTTACCTGCTCGGGCAAAGTTCTTGCGAGCGTCTAGGTAGGAACTGTACTTCATGTAGACGTCCAGTTTCAAATTGGGTAAGTTTAAGGATTTTGAAGCTTCCTCGTTCGTTACGATGTCCGAAAGGATCTCTGACACTCTCCCATCCGAGCACATTTCTCGTAACTCTGTGAAAGCCTCGTAGGTTTGGCAGATCACGCTCATTACAATCTCACAGTCTCTGAAGCCACGAACCGATCTTCTGTTATTGTTTATAGATCTCAAATTCTTGGAGTGTTTTTTTACCTGGTCATTAAGAACATCGGTGACTGTTGGTTTAGCTCCATTGCTCAATTGTGTTTCAGGACCAATACGAACCTGGGCTTCAACATCGACTCCTATTGAAAACATTATAGATGCACAAAGAGAAATCCGTTATAATAGCATTTATGTAAGCAGTAAAGGTTTAATATATTTTTCCGATTTAAAGTAAAACCACTACAATGATAACAAGTGTACATATATTTCAGTAATATACGAGGGTTGATTGATAAGTAGTGAGCCTCGTATGGAAGGGGTTAAGCAGGGATATCCCTTTTCAGCCCTTCTATTCTCTGACTATTTAAAGGTGTGTAGCCGAAGTTTGGTGTCATTTGGTTAGTTTATGTCGACGAGGTAGCACTCTCAAATAAGCAAGGTAAGTGACTTTTGCAAAATGCCCCTGCTCACAAGTCTGTCATTGCCATGGCTGCAATCAACGAGTGTGGCTCTGAACTGATAGAACATCCGCCTTATTCGCCTGATCTTGCTCCCTCTGACTATTATCTATTTTCCAAATTGAAAAAGGCCCTTTCTGGTACTCACTTTGTGTCAGATGATGACGTCATACGTGAGGTGGAGGGGTTTCTGAACGGCCAAGAGAAGGGCTTCTATAAAAGTGGCATAGAGGCTCTCAAAACTCGCTGGCAAAAGTGTATAGATACTTAAGGAGACTATGTTGAAAAATAAAGAAAAATACTTGTAAAATGTGTACCCCTTCTATATGAGGCTCACTACTTATCAATCAACCCTCATACATGTAACTATTTACAGATAAAAACTACCATACCTATGTATATATAAATAAAATGAATAGCAATGTCCCTTATTAATCTCCTACCTGTGTTTGTTTCTCTGAACGGTTTCTCATCCTTTTCATCAAGATAAAATCCTACTTTGTAGCGTACGTCCTCGCCTCGAGAAATCTCAGCAGTGTCAAAACAGGTATGATGTGTATTCGTGTTGGGCGGTATGTTTTGTAAGGTTTCCTCCTGGACCTCATTACGTTTAATAATACACCTTGTAACCTTTATGTATAGTCTCTCCGCTTCTCTGGGAATCTTCAATTTAATTTCTTTATATGGTAATCCCCGACCCTGCCTCTCGAAAACCGTGACCTCAGGTGATGGTATATTACCTGCGAAAACATAATAACGGAAGGTTTAGTCGAAGCTTCATCGAGTGAAATATCAGATCACAAGAAATATAAAATTAGTTGAATAAAAGGACACCCTGCATTTTATAATCGCGTTGTATTTTGGTCAAGTTGGGGACACTTACTTGCCATTTACGATGCAGAGGTTTGAACAAAACTGAGGGTCCGTGTTACAGAAAGTCGCCCCCCCTCCCCCCCCCCC